AGGGTGCGCTTATTTACTTGTAAAGCGGAAGGCAGTGCAAATAAAATGTGCCCTTATCCCTCCTTAGCATGGCAATTGAGGTCCCTGCACTTCCTTCTCTGGCTTCTCAGCCTTAGCGCTCTGTCTCTCCACCCTAAGGGGTGTCTCTTGTAAAAACAGTTGTCATTGTAAACAGGACCTTGAAACCAGGGTCCCAAAGAGCCAGTATATGGGCTTGGCAAGAGACCTTCCTGTCTAGCACAGGGTGCAGCTCAAGGGGTCAGGACTCCGAAAGGACAACTCCACTCTGTCTCCAAAGAGAGCTCGTGTGAACGCTCACAGGAGACCCGCCTAGAAGCTTCCATTCCCTGGGCGGCCGTCTCTATTGCTTTCCCTGGCCCAGGACTCAAGATGCTCTTTAAGATGCTTCCTTCTGTTGTTGAAAATTGAGCCAGAGCTGGCTAGGCTCCTGAAGATGATCTGGGCCAACGCGTTCATTCATTTCAGGAACAAGTCTTTGAAACCAGTTGCCTTAATTAAAAAAAAAAAAAATTAAATAGGACTAGTTCAAGGAAGGAAGGAGAGAGGGAAGGAGGGAAACTGAGGCAGAGGAGAGGGTTGCCCCGGGCTCCCAGCCATCCTCCAGGTAGGGGGTGGAGGGGGGGCAGGAAGGGAGAGAGGGCTGGGGGGCTACACACTCCTGAAATGCATCATATTTGAAGGCAGGAAACAAGCGGACCCTTCTGATTTCAGCCTTTTCCTCTCCAGATAGGAGAGTCCCAATTTGCTCAGCATTTTTGTAGGGAGCTGGGTGCTGGGGGCCCAGCAGCGAGAACCACCTCATGGTGACAGGAGTGATGAGTGACAGCTGGTCCTTCATCTCTGCGCCCCACTTCACCAAGGACCCAAATGTGAGAAGGAGAGGAAGACCATCGAGGGCGGCATCACATATCCTCTTCATTGGCGGGGGAGGTGTGCTGCACCTACTATTTTTCAGTTGGCATTCTAGAAAAAGCAGTGCGGGGAGTATGAAGGATGCATCCTGGCCGAGAGCCTGTCCATGTCTCCCTTGGACAAGTTTCCCGATGTCTCTGAACCCCTGAGGGTTACTTTGCCCAGGGCTGGGGAGTCCTTTCTCAGGTGGGGTTGTGGAGACAAAAGAACAGGGTCTTGGGTATGGAGCAGTTACCAGAACAGCAGCCGCCCGTCCTGCTGAACAGGGCCTTTCTGAGAGTAAGCTCAGGTTCTGCAATTAGCAGCACAAGGACATCCCCACAGGAAAGGAAGGCTCAGGGCCCAAGCAATTCTCAAGTGCCCTTTGGTCCAAAGGCAAAAAATGAAGCCTCACAATTTTCTTGGCATTAGACTCAACCTCAAACCCAGTGTTCATTCAAGGACCCAAAAGCCACATGTGGAGACTGAAGAGGGTAAAACACTAAAAGAAGATGCCCTGGATCCAGAAAATAGTAGGTAGTGCAGAGAAAGCCAAAAGAGAGGGAAAGAACAGGAAAAGAACATCAGGCAGAAAAAGAAGATGGATTTGGGTCCCCATCATGAGAAGGGAAGTCAAGAAAAGGGAAGCTGATTGGAAACCCTGGGTAATGATGACCAAGAAAAAAAAAGTTAAAAAAAAATAAATGCACAGACCTGAGAAAAGGAAGTGGGCTGAGGAAGCAGAACAGCGTGGGCACTGGAGGCCAGCGGTAATTTTACAAAGCAGGTCCTCACAAAATTCATCTCTACTTGTATAAGACACACGTGCACTCAAGGCCCAGCTTCCAAGTTCTGCTTAAACTCTCCCAGCTCGATACCACTTAGTAAAACCTTGCTTCACGGACTAGAGGGCGAGCAGAACCCTGAGGGGGTTTGCATCGCTGCTGGCCACCGCCCTAAGCAGCGGGTTCAGCCTCAGGTCGGCCATCACCAGGGCGCCCCTGCCGCCCTAGTCTGTGGCTGCCCAGCTACGTAGATGCTGGAAAGCCTGGTCTCACTGGCATCTTGCGTGGGGGGTTCCGATGTCCAGGAAATTCCATGTCCAGCCTAAGATGGAAGCTGATTAGCCCCTTGAGGGGCCTTTCACCCACTGTGAAGAAGGTTACCCCTACATCTGGTGCCACTCACATCTGCTATAGTTGAGTCTCATTTTAAGTCCCCTTTAAATGTGCAGGTGAGGACCCAGTCAGGCAACCCATTTCAATATCGAGGTTGCCCTGTAACACACCGACAAGCATGGACTTGGATACAGGAGGTGTGAGACCTAATCTCAGCATTGCTAGCCAACGACCCGGCATGTCCCTTACTTTGTCCATGATTTGATTTTCTTCATGTTTAAATGGAAAGGTTTCCACTGAATGATCTCCTAAAGCATTTTCTGTGTTGACTTCCAGTAGATAAGACTAACAGCTCAATTCAAATCTGCTGGTTATTAGCTTTTTCTGCCTGATGTTTTGTTCCAGATAAAGTGCTAACATTTTCTACATCTCCCTCACTCCCACCCAAGTGCTATCATCTACGACCTGGATCACTGCAATAGACCCCAGCAGTCCTGCCCCTCCTTTCCTCACAGATAATAGCCCGGGCATCACTCAACAGGGCATCAGATTAAACATAGTACTTTTCCTTTTAGAATTGCTGAGGGTGAAGTAGATGATACAGTGTTTAGCAATGAGCCTGGCTGCTTAGTAAAGGGTGTCTTTCCCTTGCTCCCCCAAAAAACCTGAAAACATTTTTCATTTCAGGCAAAATTGAAAAAAAAAAAATAAAACTTTTACACACCAACTCTCCACAGTGCCTGGGGTGGGAGAGAAAAACGCCAACAGCTATAGGCAGTCTAGAGGGTTCCAGAGACCAACATGCTTCTGCTTCCTCACCTGATGTGATTATTAAGTATCTGTTGTAGCAACACACTGTCTCAGGTGCTCCCCTCAGAACAGCTGGGGTGGCAGGAGATGAATTCCCATCGTGCAGGTGAGCAACATCAGGCCAGAGGTTCTAATTCCATTCAAGGTCACCTGGCCGGAGAGGGCAGAGCAGACTTCAGCCTTTGGAAAGCCCAGGTCTGCAGCCCTTCCCACCTGCCTCCCTGCTCTTCCTTCTCAGTGACCCAGGGACACTTGCCTGAAGACTTGTTGGGGGTCCTGTGTGCAAGCCACAGTGCCAAGACTGAAAATCACTCTACCTCATGCAGGTATGGCAAAATCAAGCTAATTTCAGAGCATGAATTTCCTTGGCTGCAGGAAGCACGCGCAAGAAGAGAAGCAAAAGAATTTTAATTGGTCTTGGTGTCCTCTTGAGGTCAGCTTACGGCCCTCTGACTCTGGGGGAGCTGAGGAGAGGGTGGCTAGCCCTGGGACCCTTAATGTGATCCAGCAAGGACCTGACTGCATAGCTGCGAGCCTGGGAAGACACATCGGGGATAAGCCACCTGCACCGCAGTACAATTCCCGTTTCCCCCTAGCGGCTTGCGGCCTTTGAAACTGACACTTGTGTGGCTCACAAAGGGTTGCATATTACTCATTCTATTTGATTTAAATATTATCAATTAGGGTCACAGCTAGCAGTTCCTTTCTGAGAAAAGGACATTGTAGCCTGAAGCAAAGAAAGAGCGACATTTCTCTGGGCTCGAGAGCACCATCCCAGCCTTAGACGGCCCAGGCCCGAAAGCCTTCACCCTGGAAGAGTGTGGGTAAGATGCAAAAGTGGGCCTGGCACCAGGCAGAGGCTGGGAAGGGAAAAGCTGATTCCTAGCTGGGTGGGTTCTCACCTTGGCAAACACACCATCATGTAAAACCATTTTGAAAAGGGCACTGTAGGGTGTGAAAACACCCTTGGGTAAAGAAGTGTGAGCTATGCATTTAGTTGTGGCGGGGAGGGAGGTAGTGACAAGCAGGACCTGCATTCTAAGGGGCTTGTTTGCACTGTCACAAGGAGGGGAGGCCTCGGAGGACCGAGGCAAACAGCTGGCCTTGCAGCCTGGGGTAAGTGAGGACAGAGTCCTGGCTGGGAGGAGAGGGGCCATGGAACAAGTGTTAGCTCCTGACCTATGCATCAATGTCTCATTTTTTTAATTTTTGTTCAGAGAGAAACAGGAAATAAGAGTAGTAGGAAGGGTCAGGCCACAGTGAAGTGTGGGACTGGCAATTATTGGGTTAATTAGCCACAGGGGGCCCAGCCCAGCTGGCTAAGATGGAGCTCCCCCTCCATCTTGGGGCTATCGGTCCTCCTATGATTGTGAAGACCTGGGCAATGGCCACTTGCCCAACCATTCTGGTTTGCTTAGAACAAAGGTTTTCAATGCTGAACTCGGGAAAGTCCCGGGCAAAGCATGACTAGTGAGTCTATGTCAAGTGGGTGACCAACACCTTATCCCTGAAAGAAGAGTAAGACTTATTTCCGAGAGGAAAAGAAATGGCTCTCAAAAAACAAAGATGAGAACTTCAGGGTGTAGGTCCACTCAGATTCTGGCAAGAGTCAGAGGCCTCTCTCTTTGATCTTGGCTTCATGCAGGAGAAACAGGGTCCGGCAAGTAGAGGAGGTGGGACTAAAAGGAGATAGAGAATTGCTTTGGGGAAGTGTAGACTAGGGATGTGAGCTATGGCTGCACTCGTCGCCATCCCACCCTCTCACATGCTGCCCATATTCATCTGTCCCGCTGTCCACACACTGGTCAACTAGCCACCTTTTGGAGAGACTTTCAAAAATCTAAGAATGCAAGATCTGTCTCAGGCTTCACGAGGCCAAGATTCAAATGTTGGCTGGGCCATTTGCTGCATAGTTGTGGGCAAGTCACGGACCCTCCCAGAGACCTGGCTTCTCCTTTTGTAGAGGGTGTTTGTTTCAGCCTCCAACTCAAGACTGCTGTGAACATCAAACGAGACAGCATGTATGACATTGAGAAATGTGTTGGTTGGGGACTCGACTGGTGTTTGGTTTTTTGGCTTACCTAGGGACACTGCCATGCAGAATTCCAATTTTCTTCCTCTGAGAACTAACGCTGTTCCTTGTTTTCTTTTGTGACCCAGGTCCTCACCATGTCCACCATCTCCCCTGAATCAAATTCTGAAATCTTTACGTACGATGAGTCTAGTGAAGCCTGTTACACGGGGGACATTGTGGCCTTTGGAACTGTCTACATGTCCATAGTCTACTCCGTGGTCTTCACCTTTGGCCTCGTGGGAAATCTGCTGGTGGTATGTGCCCTCACCAACAGCCAGAAGTCCAAGAGTATCACCGACATTTATCTCCTGAACCTGGCCTTGTCCGATCTGCTCTTTGTAGCCACCTTGCCCTTCTGGACTCACTATTTGATAAACGAACAAGGTTTTCACAACGCCGTGTGCAAACTCATTACTGCCTTCTTCTTCATTGGCTTTTTTGGAGGCATCTTCTTCATCACCATCATCAGCATCGACAGATACCTGGCCATCGTCCTGGCTGCCAACTCCATGAACAACCGAACCGTGCAACATGGCGTCACCATCAGCCTAGGCGTCTGGGCAGCAGCCATCTTGGTGGCAGCACCTCAGTTCATGTTCACAAAACAAAGTGAAAACGAGTGTCTAGGTAACTACCCTGAGGTCCTGCAGGACATCTGGCCCGTGCTCCGCAACATGGAAGTAAACTTCCTTGGCTTCCTGCTCCCCCTGCTCATTATGTGTTACTGTTACTTCAGAATCATGCGGACACTGTTCTCCTGCAAGAACCACAAGAAATCCAAAGCCATTAAACTGATCCTTCTGGTGGTCATTGTGTTTTTCCTCTTCTGGACCCCCTACAACATTATGATTTTCTTAGAGACACTCATTCTCTATGACTTCTTTCCCAGCTGTGACATGAAGAGGAATGTGAGGTGGATCCTTCAAGTGACTGAGACCATCGCATTTATCCACTGTTGCCTCAATCCTTTCATCTACGCATTTGCTGGAGAGAAGTTCAGACATTACCTTTGCCACCTGTACAGGAAATGCCTGACTGTCCTATGCGGTCAGTCGGCCCATGTCACTTTCTCCCTGTCGGAAACCCAAAGAAGCAGACAGGAAAGCATCATGAGCAGCAATTTTACTCACTACACCAGTGATGGGGAAGCATCCATCCTTCTCTGAGAGGATCACCGAAGGCTCATCCTGCAGAAACCTGAAGTTCTTGAGTCTGACACTGAAAAACGAGGACAGATTTTTTTTGGCTTGTTTTTTACTTGCAAGAAATGATGAACCCAAAGCCCAACAAAACAGCCCTAAAGTGGTTTTGTGAAACAGGCTTAAAATTTGAATGATTTGTGCGTCTCTTATCGTTAATATTAGGACTTGTATCGTTAACGAATGACAAAAGTTCAACTCAGACTGACTTAGCTAAAAGGGGAGGTAATGAGTATTGTTCACATCGTGGTTCAGACAAGTAGCCTGCTGAGTCCTCAGGGAGTGAAGGCTGTGGCTTACCTGTAGCTCAAATTCCCTCTTGCCATCAGATCTGAGTGGTGATGCGCTCCCACACTCATTTGGAAACATGTCTTTCTTCACCTCTAACTGTTACTTCCTTCACCTCTAACTCACATAGGACAGCTTAATCGTCAGAAAGGGACTGCAATCCATGCCTCTCTGGTCCCAAGGTCAGAATTCCCAGAGTGGGGCTTTACTTGGTCAGGGTTATATCACACGCCCATGCTTGGCCAGATGGTGCTTTCTATAGGGCAGGGATAGGTAAGATGCAGCCTCCACTCCAAATTGTGGTTACATAACAGGGTAGTCCCCAGGAAAAGGGGAGGGTCCAAGTTCCCTGCCCCACCCAAGGGAGGGTGGAGCTGAGCAGGGAGGAGGAGAAGCTGCAGAGGAGACTGGGGAAGGAAGGAAGCAGGATGGAGCCAGAAGGAGACCTGGGGGAGGCACATGGAGCCGAGAGACACTTGAAGAAACTACACTTGGCTTTTGGTCGTGGACTGGGTGGAACAGATGTGGGTGAGAGACCCGTGGGGAGGTGACAATGGCAGGTTTTGTCTTGATTTTGATTTTGCTCTTTTCCTCCCAGACTTGTCTGGTTGTTTCTGACCCTTTTCTGTGGGTCCCCACTGAAAGGTGCTTAGGATGTGTGGCAGGTTTTTGGGCCTTGCTCTGGGCCAATCCTGCTTGGGTAGACTTTTACCCACGAGGGGACGGGTAAATTTGGATGCTTGATTTAGAAACTGTATTCCTTGCCTTTCCTGTATTGTTTACTAATTGTATTAAAGTTCCTTTTCATTAAAGTCTCATATGTTTTCTGTTGATGCAGCAGATGACAGAACCTATTTAGAGGAGGCAGGTTTGTGGGGTCTGGGGTACCCCTCTCCCTGCCCTGTAATAGTTAGAGATGAAGGAAGACATGTTTCCAAGGAGCCGGCAGAGTGGGTGCAGTTTTGATCAGATAGAACGAGAGCTGCCCACCAACCCTGCCCTGTGTCTGGACCAGCCTCCCTGACCCCCATGACGCTAGCCAGCATACAATACCAGCCTCCTCTTCATTTACCCATCTTCTACCTTGGCCCTAAACCTAAACTGTTCCCCACCGCCCACCTCATCAAGTCCAGACTTAGGCCTCTGGGATGCTCCCTCACACCCTCCCACCATCACGACTCCCCTCTCCAAGGGTCTCCCCCACCTTCTCAGCCATGTCTCTTCCATCCAGCTCCCAGGTCCAGGGGAAGAAATAGGAAGAGCCCTGGCTCAGAGTGAGAAGGGGTGGTTTCCAATCCCAGGTCTGTTGCTTGCCTGGGGCCAACCAAGCTTCAGTTTCCTTTTCTGTAGAGTGGAGATAACAGTACTTTCACAGAGGGGGCATCCTTCCCAGCCTAAGGAACCAGCCACACACTCCTGCATGGCACAGCCCTCTTGTCTGGTTCCAACTTCAGTTTGCTCCTCACCTGGCTCTGTGCCTCTGCTGTGACAGCTTGAAGGAGCTGCAGGCTCTACTACATGATGCAGCTCAGACACAGAGGAGGCTGGTTCCTACATTGGCACTCAGTAAACACTCCTGGATCTGTGGGTTGATAGCCCCCTGACCCAGCCTACCCAGACTGCCTTACCATTCCCTCCCAGTCAACTCCTGCCTGGACAGACCCATCAGCTTCACACCACAGCCAGCCTGGAGACCCAGGGTCTTGTAGTATTGGGAAAATATTTCGGATGGTCTAAAACCTGAAAAAATGTAATAATGCATCCATAATCTAACCACACTGTTTTCATTTGCCCACTGAGACCTTGTTCAGAGCGTCACGCTTAGAGTTACAAATATAATGTACAATTTTGTAATCTACTTTTTTCTCTTAATGTTAGGTTATGAATAACTGTTTTGTAATGATTATTTTGGAAGACTCTGCCAAGTTGTATACTCACTGAAAGCCTCTGACTCACTGTTGTTACAGAGATCGCCTTGGCATTGGTGTGTTTATTTAATGAATGAGAGAATGAATCATGTTCCATGAAGATCATGTACCGAAATTTACTCACTACTACTCTGTTGATAAACATTTCACTTGTTTCCAATATTTAGTAAATACATACTTTACAGTATTTTTATTTGTGTAATTTCTTCTCTCCTCTTCAGTTATCTGTTTTGTATTAGTCTCTGGCCACGGGGATAATAGGAACTTTTAAGTTTTTACACATACAAATGAAATTAGCATATTATAAAGCTTTTATTGAGCACATATTATAGGTAATATGGGAGCTCAGCTCCTTTCCCAAGATGAGACGAACATCTGCCCTCTGTGATTTAGCATTTTTTTAAAGATTTATTTATGCATACAAGATCTAGGGTACAGGCCAGTGGTGTGGGGGTGAGAGGACTCACCAGAGACAGAGTGGAGAACAGAACAGACAGACTGACTGAAATACACTGCTGAGGGGAGCAGCGGGTGAGACAGGAGAGGTCTGCTGCACTATGTGGGTTGCTCCCTGGTTGGCCGGGGATCGAACTCAGGCAGCAGAGGCTGCAGACAGCTTCACAGTGCTGTGCTTAACCCCTTGCACCACCAGGGAGGCCCTGGAGTCCCAACATGTGACCTTGTGCAAGTTAATTAACATCTCTGAGAATGTTTCCTTATCTGAAAAATGAGAATAAAATGAGTGGCCACTTCTAAGATTATTATGAGGGTTTACTGAGATTATCTACACTAAGCTCATAGCACAGGTCTAGCAAAGGCAGCTCAAGCGAATAGTGGTGACTCTTCTGATGCTTTTTCTTCATATTATTATTAGATTGAAACTTTCTCATGCTATCTTATCCCTGACTTCTTGTTCTCAGTCCTAGAACCACAGAATGTCGATAGTGAGAGAAAATTAAGCCCCAATTAGCATTTTGTGGGTATGGAAAAGGAGACTCAAAGAGGACAGAGGCTGGCCCTGTCATACAGTGAATGAGCGCAAGAGCTCCTGACTCAAGCTCCTGCCTCCTTACACAACTTGATAAAAGATGAGACCAATCTGAAGGTGATTATGGTAAAAAGTACTGTATTTTATATTGTATATTTGAAAGTTAATAAGACTTCAAAAGTTCTGACCACACACACAAAATTATAATTATGTGAGGTGAAGGCTATGTTAACCCACCTTATTGTGGTAATCATTTTTCAATATATATATGTATAAAATCACCATATTGTCTACCTGAAATTTACATAATGTTCAATAACATTAGGGGGAAAAATACAGATCAATCCTGCCTCAAGGCAGAGCACATAGGCTGGACAATGGAAAACAACAGAAAGAAGGCCTGCAGGCAGATGACTTAGGCAGAGAGGGGAGGTCTGCCGCACAGAATACAGGGAATAATGGACTCTCCATGGCAAGTGTGGTCTGGCTGTGCCTTTGGAGATAACTCTGACATCAATATCACCGATGAAAGATGGTCAACAGATGCAGCATTCCCAGCATTCTCAGCATTCCCAGAGGCAAGTGCAATCCAAAGCCACCAGCAGGAGCTGGGTGGGTGGACTAAGCCTTAGAGGAGGGGGCTAGGCATGTCCAGAGCCCAGGGCTGCCCCAGTGCTTTTATCCCTTATTTCCTCATTTCACGTCCTTTCTAAACCATCTTACTCACTTCCGGCTTATTCTATACTCACCAAATGGACCTCTGTGGGAGAAGTCAGCTTCCCAGGACCTCACCACCAAGATGATGAATACATGCTTTGGGTTATTGGGGAGAATTCTCACCTTCATAATCCATTGCAGCAGAGTGTGTAGAGGATCTGGCAGGCTTTGAGTCACTGTCCTGAGCACCAGGGGGTGCTCACCTCTGCCCCACAAATTACACTGGGGAATATGGCAGCCCAACTCTGAGAAGCCACCTCGGGTCTCTCCTGGCCCATTTCATGGTGTCCATTAGTGCCCTCGAAATTGGGGAAGTCTGTCCCAACTCAGAAATAATTTCCACCTCCACCTGCACTCCAGTCCTTGGCCCGGGGGAACACCTTCAGTCCCAGCAGTATTGTTTGATTTCCTTGCTGAGCTGGCAATCCCATTTTGAGATAACTAAGAGTCATATTATCTGAGAGCAAGTGAGACAAGTCAGTCTTAGCAAATTTAGAAATAATCCCATATTCTCCTGACAACCTCCTCCCTCCCTAGGATGGCCAAGTTGTTTTCTCGAGGATATGTGGGGCCAGCTCTCCAATTCTCTTGTAGGAGGCACATCGTTAGGCAACAGCAGAAGTTTCTCGGTTGACACACCCTAGACATCACTAGAAACCACAAACATGCTCAGTAGGAAAATTGGTTTTTTATTCCTTATTTCCTTGTTTATTTAGTTAGAAACAAAAATAAAATATTAATTTGCATGTCTTCGAATTCTAGGTGAGATGATTCCATTTTCAGTGTGTCTATATTCTGTATATATTTGTACACACTTTTCTGATTATAAAAGAGATGTATAGTCATAGAAAATGCCCAAAAAAAACAAAGAAAGGTAAACACATTAAAAATTTCACTATATTTCACCCTCCAGACAAAACCATTGTTTAACCCTGAAGTGACTTTCTACCATGCCTTTCTCTGCAGATAGTCTTAGAAAAAAACCTGAGATCCTAACATATATACTATTTTACATCACTTTTTTTTCACTTAACATTCTAGTATAAACATTTCCCTATGCAGCAAACTCAACTATGATTTTTAATAATTACACAGAAGTCCGCATAGATTTTATTTTTTTTCTGTCAAGGGAAGGGAAGAAAAAGGTGTCCATATAGATTTTATCGTTTATTTTATTGATGGACATGAATGCAACTCCCAGTTTTTTATTCTTAAGCACAACACTGTGCTGAACTTGTGTTTGCACATATCATTGATTATACAAGAAGAATTGCTACATCAGTGGATTTAAGCATCTGTTGGTCCCTAGCCCAGTCCCGCAAAATTGCTTTCAGAACTTGATATTCCAAGAACCCCCAATGCCTGATTTTATCACAGACACCTCTTCCCGGTATTTTTGGTTAGGATATTTCAGGCTTTTATTATGTTTGGAAATACTGACTATTGATTTCAAGAGGCAGAGAGGGACAGAGACTTCTGTTTTTGAGAAGAGGTGGTAAGCCTGCTTCATAGCAGAGAGAACAGACAAGAGGTCAGGGGGATTTTTAAAAAGTGTCTGCTGACATGAAAAAAGATGTCATTCTAAGGAAAAAGACCATTTAGCCCCTGACTTAAGGGGACGCAGGAGATCATCAATGTCAGACAAAATCTGGGCAACACAGGCAATTATTTTCCTGTTTAGTTTTGCAAGATGAAAAGAGTTCTGGGGGTGGATAGTAGTGATGGTTATGAAACAATGTGAATGTGCTTAATGCCATGGAACTTTAGGCTTAGACATGCTTTTTACAGTAAATTTCACATGTGCATTTAACCACAATAAAACAGTTAGGGAAAAACCCAACAAAATCCTGAAAGAGACTTGCTTGGGGCTTTGAGGCGGTGTCTGACAGCAAGAAGCAGTAGATACACACAGGGCACCCACAAAACCCTTGTGCAATTTGAGAGTTTAAAAAACCCACTTCTATACAAAAATAGAAGTGATCAGCCAATGACAACAAAGAGAGAATTTATCCAAGATTCAGCACAGTTGATTGCAGGAAGGTCAAATTTCAGTTTTGGATATATCAGAATATAGCTGTCTCAGAATAAAGTAAAGCTCATTATCTGCAAAATACAAGAAAAAAGCAAGCATAGGCAATTTGATTTAAATCTCTAGTAAATTCTCTCTACATTGCATTTCATAAATGTACATACCTTATAAGGAAGTGAATTTATTAGAAATCCAACCACAGTGACTTATAGACACTCTGTGTCTTGGGCTTTTGTGAGAAGAGATGGGGCTTCGATCAGCCAGGGAAACTCATTAGCCCAACGCTAAGACCGCCTCGGCATACCTAGGTAGCCCTCTCTTGGGGCAGGAGGTTACCCACCTGCCAAGCTGGGAATCCTATCACCAAAAGGCTAATTCATACTCCCACTGGTAATGGATAAGTGGTCAATTTCAAGGCACACAATTTCACAGAGAAAAAGAAGAAACCAGAAAATAATTTCCACAGACTCCAACCACCACATCTTCCCACCCACCCGTGGCTATGCCTAATCTTTCAGTTTAACCTCCTGGTGCCCTGGAAGAATTCCCTGCCCCTGCTCTGAGATGAAGACAAACCTGTGCACGTAATCCCCTCCCCCACACCTCCCCCCCTCAAGAATTGTATTCCTGCATCTGTCTCCTCTCTCCTACACAATTTCTCATCTCTCTTTCACTATATATGAAGTAAATCAGACAGAGAAAAACAGATACTACAAGGTTTCACTCATATGTGGAATACAGGGAAACAAAACTAATGAACAAGCAAAACAAAAACAAACTTTTAGACTTTAGCAAAACAGTGGTATCCAGAAGGGAAGGGGAAGTGTGGGTAGGTAAGCAAATTGGGTAAAGGTGTTCCATTGTGTGGTAAAGGATGGTAGACTATATTTTTGGTAGTGAACATAGTGTAGTAAATACAGGTGTTGATTTATAATGCTGTACACCTGAAACTTATGTCATAACCAATGCTAGTTCAATAAAAATGAGCCAAGAGATAAAAAAAAAAAATTCCTGTTTTTGCTGGGTTATTCTCACTTAACAAACAGGCATGTCAGAATACTCCCCATTGCTAGAAACCTCTTCTTAATTCCACATCTCCTCCAGGTCTCCTCCAAATCTTACTCCATTGAGAGATACTCAAGAGTAGTCTCCCTTTCCTCAGCTCCCATTCTCTGGAATTTTCTTCGCACTATAGAGGAAATATTACAGTCGTTTGTTGTAGAGATCAAACAGTATTTCTCTGTTGTCTTACTCTACACATATTTTTTCTTGCTGTCATTCACCATTTTTCTGTTTCATAAGCTAAAACTCATAGTGGTTTCTCTTATTAAATGACCCTCCATAGTAGGAAACGCAGATTGGGCCCAGCTCTGTCAGGTTGCTTTCAGTTTTCATCTGTGACATTATTTAGCATTTTGATGAAATATTGAGGCTTTTTAGAGG